CCTTGGGTATTTGATTGGGCCTTTTAAGTATAGCTAACAAAAGCAGTATCATGCAAAACAGAGCAAGGTAGGAACTATAGCGACAAGCGAGGTGTGGACGCACAGTAGTTTCAAAACGCGACCACGTGACGGTGAGGGCGACAGGGTGAGTGGTACGTAGCGACTCATTCCGGCGAAGGAACAGTGTCTACAACGGATGCTTATCACACAGGCACAGAAGTAAGTGACGTCATCCACCACTAACTTAGTGTGCCGATGGCTTATGCGTAAATTTGTTTATGGTGAAGCAAACTTGCGCAGAATCTGTCCCAGTCTCTATTCACACACTCACAATGGCAAGACGCAATCAAAACAATATGCTATGAATGTGAACGCGATTTGTGAACACGAGACCACACGTGCCAAACAGGTACTGATGCTTAAACATGCACGAAATGATCTTCCATTAGGGAGACCGCAAAGGGCCAAATTTAGAAGGAGCATGCGCGCATATAGGCAAGCATACAAGTGAATATAAAATAAAGTGTTGACTACGAAGTGGGTGCTGTCGCTGGGGGCGGTAGTGAAGAATTCGGGAAAACTTACAAGAAGCCTGAGAGAAGATTGAAACTGGCCGCTTCTGTGATATCGAAGACCAGCATGAAGCCTTCGCTGCTCCTATAGTAGGCATCTCGAATGCCCATGTACTCCTCCTGACCTATGTACCAACAAATAAAGGGGAAACTGCATTGAGTACATTTTAGAAGATGGAAAACGGGAAAGCGACCTGGGGAAGACAGAAGTACGTGCCAAGATTGCAAAGCCTTTAATGGTTGCCTGACAACCAAAAGGATGAGAGGTTACAGATAAAGGAGTGAAAAGAACGTCCCGACAGTAGTCGGGACTAGCAACGCAGATGTAACGACGAGCAACAAGGATACAAGGCATAGAGGACATTTCTCCTAACCGAGTGTAAATTAATCAGTTCTGGCAGTCAAAAGTAAAAAATTATGGAGGCATTGTTTTGGGCTGGCTGATAGGCCGCATGCTTCAGGACACAAATAAGAGACGACAAAGAAAAAAATGCCTGAGAGCTCACTTAACGAATGATAGTAATTATATGTGGTAGTTTCTGATGATAGGACCTCCTAAACCATAAATTGATTGAATGCTGAAAGGATATGATGTTGCTAAGAGTACTTTAGACGGGGGGTGTTGATGGGGTAGGAACTCGGTGGCGCGGATAATCACTAAAGCAGACACGACCCCCAAAAACGTGTGGCGCCTATTGCGACAGGCCTAAAGGGAGCGTCAAGCATGTCATTGTGCGCGAATTCACATCCTGGCGGCTTCATCTGGTCGTGCGACTAATATAGTGAGCGAGAACGACGTTGTACAGGTTCCTCTCTCTCTCTCATGTAAAATTTAGAGGCTGGCCTACTTAACAAACGATAATAGCCCGTCATTGGGCTAGAGGCAGTCAGACAATCGATTAGTACTTGAAGGGTAAAGAGACAGCTAGTGGCAGTACACACTATCCTCGTGGCAACTCAGAGAATTTCCCATTAAAACACGCGTTTGGACCTATCAAGAGGTGTCAACACTCCCGGCTGGGAAGGTTGCAAGCTAACGGCGTAACCTGAGGGTCAGACAACAATGTTTTCCTTATGGCGCTCCCAGTGATCCATCTCATAACCCAACTTCTGAAATGTGTTTTTGAGTAGGAAGAATTACTGAAATTTGATTGTAATATTGATTGCTATGCCAGAAAGAGTTTATTTTTATTTTTGGCTGCCTGCCAAAACGAAACCAAGCAATAAATGACTACCTAATTTGCATGCATATTTCCATAAACTTCCTATGCTCAGGTGAATTCAAATTGA